AGGCAGGACTTTCAAAGACAACATTAAGTGTCTTTTGTGGGTCTTAGATAGCATGGTTCACTTAATTAGATTTTCCATAATCCCAGGTTAATCCTATTGTGAATTACAGACATGAGTTTTGACGTGCTTGGCAGAAACATCTATTGCTACAAATGCATTTCTGGAAAAAATTCTTTATTTAGAATTCATTACCAGAATCATTACCATAAAGAGACTCCTTCTCTTTCTTCATCTCTCAGGTGGAACTGAACATTTCCACTTCTTTGGATCATCTTGTCCTTTTAAATAATTTAATAAGGGCACTTTTAATACTCTTTACTCCTGATTAGGTCTTCCTCTTCCCCAGGACATATGGAGCCCCCTACAATTTGGGAGCATAGCTGACTCTTCCCAGAATTCCTTGCTCCCAGGTACAGTGATGTTTACAGCTGACATGGCCTCTGCCCCTCGTGGAGCTTAACATTTAGACCAATGTCTCTAGAATTTGACTGCTCATTAGAATTAACTGGGGAGTTTTAAAAATCTCATTGCCCAGGCCTTCCTCTAAAGTCTAAACCAATTAAAAATCCACAAAAACCAAGAATCAGTATTTTTGAAGTTCCCCAGTTGGTTCCAGTGTACACTCAAGTGAGAACCTCTGGTCTAGCGCTACATTATCCAATACTGTAGCAACCTAGACACATATGGCTTTAAAAACTTAGAGTAATTTAAGTCAAATAAAATAAAAAATGTACTTCCTCATTGTGCTACTTCCATTTCAAGTGTTCAATGGTCAGTTCAATTATCAAAAAAGTTCTATTAATCAGTGTTGGTCTTAGGCACTAATCTGCCTCAACTGAAGCATCAAATGCCTGTTCAATGAATGAAGCTGTATGAAGAACACTTCACTGGGCATTCAAAGGCCTGCCACGAACTCACTGCACAGCATTCAATCATCTAGACCTCAGTTTTCCTTTCTGTGAAATGAAGGGCTGGATAAGATGGGTGGTGGGGTCTCCAAAGGTGATCCGCAGACGGCCGTGATAAACACCTGTGGGTGAGGGGATGTAATGGTAGGGGTAGCGGGACCCATTGGCTCCATACCCTACAGCAAACACAATGTACAGCTGGACTCAGCACAAGATTTCTTTGCAAAAGCAGTTCTGCTGCATTAAAAAAAAAATGAAATGGAAAAAGAAGCCGCTTCTGAGATCTTGATACCTAACAGCCTTGCTGTCTCAGTCCAGTGGCAGGTTAGTAAATTCCTGCTTCAGTGCCTATAATCTCCTGGCTTGGGGAGCAGACCCCTGCTCAGGAAGCAGTGGGACTGCTGACAACTGACAACTCACTTCCCCTCTGTTTTCTCTTATGGAAAAAAAAAGGAGAAATGATGCCTGACCTCCCTGGCTCCCAAGTTAATTGAGGGTCGAATGAGATAATGGATTGGGAAGCTCTTTGTAAAGGCATAATGTGGGCTGCCCAGGTGAAGGGAGGATGATGAAACACTGACAGCAGTGGCAACTTACATTTCTTTGGGTAATTTAGAAGTTTTGGCTTTCAGCCTTTAGTAGTGTGAGCTGTAGATGAATGTAAATGACCTGTTATTATTACAAGAAGGAGACAGGATTTTTCTCCTTTTCTCTAATGGGGACGTAGAGCCCATCAGGTGCTGCAAATGGGTTCCTTTTGTGTGCATATGAATCCTTTACATTTGTCCCTGGACTCAAAGGGATGCTGTACTGCTGACCTAGGAGAGCGCTGCCTTCAGGCATAGCAACTTGGTTGGGGGATGATGGCTGGGGGTGGGAGGACGGCTGACTCCAACAAGTAAAGCTGTGAAACTATATTAGGGGCCCAGACTCAGTAGGGATACAGGCCAGAAGCCCTCTGTAGAGACCACGGGCCTTTTAATTATCCTTGATATGGGATGAGAATAGAACAATCATGTCAAGTGTGGACAAAGCTACTAGGTATGTCACATGAGATGGTTTGGACTTTCCTGACCAGGTAAGTTCCAGGGGCCCATCTTGGTGAACCATTCATTCTCCATTCAGCCTCTACTTGACCCAGCCCAGCCCCTGGTGGGGGGGGTGTACATGAGCACCTACTGGGTGTCAGGCACCGTGCAAGGTGCTTTACATACATCCTTTACATCCTCTTTGAAGGGTCCCCACCAGTAAGAGGGCAAACTTCCGGCTTCTCTTCGGGGTCCTCAGTTCCCGCCGGCGCCACCTGAAGCCCAATCACCTCTCGCCCCCCTCCCAATCCCAGCACCTAGCCAACAGCCACCAGCCCCGTAGAAGTGACACCTCAATCAATTCATGCCCCCTCCTATATAACCCAGCACCTTTCCCTAATAAAGCGGAACTCTCCGGTGAATTGCTGCTATGTGTCGCTCCTTTCCTTTCACTCTTTCCCTCCAGCATCTTCAAGAATTTTGCATTATTGCCTCCAGTGTCCAGATAAGGAAACAAGGGCGTGGGGTCCTTCACCTTCAGAACATGCAGTTTAGTGCATATGGCTAGTTAGCACCCAAAATAGGAGAGGAAGCCACATACGGCCCATTTGGAAGCTTTTGCCTTTCCACCTTTCAAACAAATTTCTCTGTAATTCTCCTGTGAAAGTCTTAATATTTTTCCTCTGGAGATGCTCAGAACTCAGCTAGATTTTATTCCACAAAGCAACCATTTGAGAAATATTTGTGGAGACTGGGATTTCTGCAGTAGTTAAGTGCTATGAATTTAGTGAAACTGCCCTCAAGGAACACATAGGTTGCTGGAATTTTTAGAAAGTGGGTATTTCACCCAAGAGTCTTGCATTTTCTACTTCAGACATCGCCAGTTCATCCAATGGTTCCTTAGAGGAAATACCCAACTCTTCCCCAGATGTTCTCCAGCCTGCCCGCTCTTCCAAATAGTCCTTGAAGGAATAAATCACGACTTTCAAAGCTCTCCCTCATAACGTTTCCCACATTAGAATGAAATTTTGTTCTATGTCCTTCACTGCCTCAGCCTCCAAAGAAGGTGCTAATGAGTAATAAAATGCAAGCCGTGCAGGAACGGTAGGAAGGCAGCCAGACAATATCTTCTAACAGAAGTAACCAGCCCAACATGCCATAGCTCTGTGAGAGCTCACGGGCTAATCACTGTTGAAAGGATTAGGTATGTCGTTCATGAGAGGAGTTACGTGGTGCTACAGGCAAGTCCCACACATCAATATTTCATCTGAGGATGTAAAGGGGAGGCGGGGAATCATTCTTTGACAGGAAGAGTGGCTGTTATCCAATCACTGTTCACCACTGGTCCCTTCAAGACCCACATTGGCAAAGAAGGTTCAATCTTATTTTCAACAGCAAATGGGAAGTGACATCAGCTGGCTTTTGTTTCACGAAATTACATAAACAAATAAAATAATATAGAACTTTAATCAGGTTATAGAGTGCCAACAAAATCCAACGGGGTGTTTCCCCAGGCAGGAAAAATGTCTCCCTAGGAGAAGCGTCGGGGCTGGAGACGGCTGGGCTCTCACTCTCAGGCATCTTCCATCCTGTTACCAAGCACCCCTCTCCAAACAAGTTTTCACTTGAAGGGCCAATTTGCAGTCCATGGAACCATTGATAAGGTAGAAAGTGCTTTCCAGAATCACTCAGTAAGGCAAATCTCCTTTGGATCACAACTGCCTCAATCAACCAAGGAGCCAATATAGAATAAAACGACAAAGCAGTTACTCTAGGTCATGGACTTTGCCATTAAGGACTGTACTGCCTTCCTGGTAAGACAGCCATGGCAGAAATGTCCACTCTTGCATCTCAGGGATGGCTGCCCACAAAGCCAATGAAACATGACTTAGTCTCCTAGTTCGGAGTCGGTTCCTGCTCCTTAATCCAGCCACAACACTGGGTTTCCAGGCTCAGGCCTTCTGCATCCCGAGCTCTAAGTTCCCATCCTCCATCTCTTCCATGTATAGACATTTTAAGATCTTAAACTGAGGCAACATAATCAAGCCCACCCAGAACTCCCAAGGGAAGGGCAAGCGGGAGATTCAGAATTTGAAAGCTAGTTGATTTGAATAATGTACACACTTAGAAATAACAGCTCCAGATCAAATCAGCTCATTAAAATCAGTGATAAATGTAAACATTAATAGAGGTCCAGATATACGCAGGATGGGATGGCCACTACAGGAAGAAAGGAGACAGGACTTAGATCTGGAATAAGAAGGGCAGAATTTTGAAAGGTAGAAATGGGTGGAACCTCTTCATCCCTCTCCTGGAGACATGCGCTCCATGTACCAAGTCCACGACTCGTTTCCCAGAAAACCTACTGTCCGGTCCTCTGTTGAGAAGCCCAGCTGGAGCGCCTAGGGCTTTGAGGTTCCACCTAGGCCATGCTGGGGTGGAGGAGGGGGTTCTCCCTGGAATATGCCCCTGCCTCCAGCATTTCTTCCTACTGCTTGAGCTCCTATTTCTCTCTGGGCAGAGGAGACAGTAAACAATGCTGCCTCCTGCCTGTATCTGTGTATCTCTGGTCGTGATTGTGCCCCTCCCCCAGATGGACACTGTTCCCACCAACCCAGATCAAGGGCTCTGGGATCTTAAAGTTTCTACTGCCTTGGAATTGTTCTGGATATTAGCCCCCAGCACCCCCCCCCCACATGCCTACATGCGGGTCTATATATCTATGTCTGTAAGCCTATATGCCTCCACGCACAGGCCTACGCCCCACCTTCCTTCCCTCCCCTACTCTGCAGCTGAATCGTTCCTTCAGGCCCTATGGCTCAGTGCCGCTGAATCGCACTTTGTCCTGCTGGGAGTGAACTGAGCGCTTGCCTGCTACATAATTCACGCACAGGCCTACGCCCCACCTTCCTTCCCTCCCCTACTCTGCAGCTGAATCGTTCCTTCAGGCCCTATGGCTCAGTGCCGCTGAATCGCACTTTGTCCTGCTGGGAGTGAACTGAGCGCTTGCCTGCTACATAATTTATATCTTTTTCTTATGTCAGTATTTCACTAGTTTACACACCTCTTTCAATAGCTATCCAACCTTCAGTGCCCAGGTAAACAGTCAAATCTTCCTGCCGAGGAGGAAAGGTTTCATGTGACACGGGATATGTCCGGGTAACAGCTTCTGCATGAAAGAAGGAATGACTTTTCAGACCGGATGCTAAATGAAAAGCGATGCTTCCATGGAGTGAGCAGAGCACTGATTTCTTGACATGAGGAGGGGAAGGAAGTGTCACTTTGAGAAAACTCCAAGTGAAAACCGGTGGTGCTCAAATCAAACGCCAGAGAAAATTTTTCTGGGGTCATCAGGAAAAAAAAAACAACAAGCAGACACTTCCGTTGAACATATTTAAAAGAAGCAGTCTCCTTCAGTTCATTATAAATCACAGACTTGGCATTGAGACGGAACTTCAAGCAGGTAGATAAGATACATTCTTTTTTCTGCAGAGTAATAACGACATTAACACAAAGATGTGATTTTTTTTTTCAGTGAAGCCATCTTGGAGCATGAGAACCATGATAAAGGAGGAATTTTCAGATTACAGCAGAAGAGTGACAATTCTTGCACTTCTAACTGGCTAAAGAATTTTAAAGCAGTTCCTTAGCAAGCAAGCTCAGATAACTGACAGTTTACATTGGAGAAAACTGGGTGTCACATATACTAGGTAAATGTGCAGCTTTAGAGTAAATTGTTTGCCCTTATTCTATTGTGTGGCTTTGGTTATCCTCAAAACAGCTCCTTTTGTTACTTTCTCAATATCCTACACAACCAAAGTCTCTAGCATTTTTTTTAGAAAGGGCTTGACCTCAATGGGAACTCACTTGACACTTGCAGTCAGGTTTGTGACAAAAAAATGTTGCACATACCCATGATAAAACTCTCTTAATATGGCCAACTCTTGCTTTGCTAAGATGGGACAGATATCTAGGAATAATCGTCACAAACTTGTGAGATGCACTTTATGTTGGAGTAGAAAAATGTCCACCCTTAGTCATGTGATCTAGGAATGGATACATGTTTGGGACTCAGATGTTTCAAACCCTATTGTCTATGATATTAACCCTGTCAAATCAAAATGAGCACGTAATCTATTTTGTGGGAACCAGATTTAGGAAATATAAATACAGGACACCCAATTAAATTTGAATTTCAGAGAAACAGCATTGTTTTTAGTATAAGGATGGCCCATACAATTTGGAAGGACATACTTACACTAAAATTATTGTTATTATTTTTTATCTGAAATTCAAATTGAACTGGAAGTGTGTATTTTGTCGGAAAAAGTGGAAACCAATCTGCAAAAATGAAGAACTGGACTAGGTGAGCTTGAAATCAGTTCAAGCCTCAAGTTATTTTTATCTTAAATCTCAGAATCATTTTGTCTCCAAATATCTTATGGACTCAGAATGCTCTTGCCTGGTCCTCAGGGAAGCACCACCATTGGGCAGAAGAGATCATGGTTGGGGACATGTGGACAGTGTGGGAACTTTTAACATCAATGTAACTGAAGCCAGAGAAAACTAAGGAAGGATGTTTGATTTCCCTGGAGGAGATAGAGGAGGCCCTTAGATATTGACAGGTGATCTACGATGTAAAAGGCCTAAGGATGAAAGGATTAGCTATAGTGCTAATTGATTGAAGAATTAGGAATAATGTTCTCCTTCATCCTCTGAGTTGACACTGGTTCTGAGAAAACAACCAATACCCAAATCTTGAAGTCAGGATCATTTATATCAGGAGCATGTACCATGCCAGAAACATGGGCAACTTCCAGGATCTTTTAGGAGTGCAGCTTTCATGGATGTTTGTTCACACACACACACACACACACACACACACGCATATTAACAAAAATGCATTCACCAAACCTACATGAGCTGCGAACTTGGCACTGAGCTAAGCAGAGGCAATAACAAGATGCTGTCACGGCCCTAAAGTCACTGAGAGTCTAATGACAGTGGTGGCAGGCTGGGAGGAAGCCCAGAAAATTGTAAATAAAAATGTGAAAGATGCTTGGATGGGGCATTAGGAGTTGAGAATGCTCAGAGGAGACTCACATAAACAAGGTTACAGGTCAGGGAAGACTGACTTGATAGACATGAGCTAAGTATTGAAAGGTAGGAACAGCAATCCAGGCAGAGGGAATGGCAGAAGCAAGCATCTAAGACTTGAAATTAGAGTGTGTTTGGTAATGACAGGAATTTGAGACATGAAAGCACAAAGGCTGCTCAAGAAAGAGGAAATGGTGAGGCAAGAAGTGCAGCAGGTGGTAGACCACACACACACACACACAAACACACACATACACACAAATAATTATAATAAAAATAACTTCTGCTCTTGGGCCAGAGCAGGTGAAGAAAATGCTTGGATTCATACTTATACTGCAGCATGTAAAGATGGAAAGTCAGAAGAAGTCATTTGAACGTGTAGAAACAGCCAAATGTCCGTAATTTTGGTGTCCGTCAGTCAAAATACACAGAGGTCTGCCTCAGCTATTCATTTCCAGTTTGGATGTATTAATCCCTAGAATTTAGAATTGGCAAAGGGTCTAAGATTCAGATTTAGGATTGATGTGTGACTGCTGCAGGGAAGAAAAAAATAATCCCGAAGGAACAACCTCTGTTCTACTTTCAAGGGTTGGTGGACGGGAGAGGCAGGGTGTAAAACGGAAGGGAAATAATGTTTCCTGCATACTTACAAAGTTAGACCTTCCATGAGAAGCATGAATGGTACTTGCTCCTTAGAGCATTGTGAGATAGGGATAATTACTCCTACTTGACAACTGAAAAGAGGAACACAGAACTCAAGTTCCCCAAGTTCAGACATCAGATAAAATGGCGTAACCTGAATTTGACCCTGGCTATGTGAAATAAGACCAAATACACGTGCCAAGTGTTCTCTAAATCCCCAGCAAAAAGAGCTAAAAGAAAAGGGGCTCATGATATAACAGAGGTGGTGCCTATGCAAAGAAGGAAATTAATTTCATTCTGATTTCCCCTGATCTGTAGTGTATGTACCAAATCACAGCCATCTTTGCAAAATTAAGGGCATTAGTTATCTTTTCATTCAGTCAGAGTGGCATTATACTTTCATGGAGACATTCCTAGCTAAGCTGAAGAATATCAAGTTTTTACAAAATCATCCATCAAGAGGTAAGACCTAACCCTGATTAGCGTTTCAGCAAGAAGCCTAGGACTAAATAGGGAATAAGCGCACGATCACAGCAGCAATTAGGCATCTTCTAGACAGCCACGCTTGTTCGCAGACCAATCGAGTTTGAGCAAATGAGACATTTTTTTCCCCTTCTCTCGTTTTTTCCCCCTGATGTGAAATGAACTGCCTTAAATAACTGATGAGGTGACAGCAAGCCCGTTAAAGAAAACGTTTGCCCATTAAAAGAAGCTTAATTAAACAGAGCACAGGCTAATCGTTCTTCCATCTAATAAGCGGTACATATTGGTAAAATCACCCTGCTTACAGCACTTGGTCTGGGAGGCTTGTGGTGACACCCCACCAGTAAACAAGGAAAAAAAACCCCACACATACAGACTTTAAGAAATCAGCTTTAAGAAATCACATGCCACTTTGTAAAGCAAAAGATGAGTTGGCAATGTGCACATGGAAATTAAGTCAATCGAATGTTAGTCCCTGTCTCGGGTCATTCTCTCTAGATATTTACTCAGAATGATGAAGCTACTTGTCCCATTCGATGAGCCATCAGGAATTACTGATAAAAGGACATTTGTCCCCCGAGGGCTGGTGGGTACTGCGGTGGCCAACAGCACTGGGTTTAAAGCCAACCTCCCCTCTTCTGCATCACGTAGCTGCATCCAAAACACGGGGTAGCAGTATAACACATCTCTTCTTGGCTTGTTGTGAAGATTAAATGAGATACTTCTAGTGACATGCTGAACATGTGTTCAATAAATACTGTTCTTTTTGGCAGCATTAAAACCTAGAATTTAATAGTGTCGAGGTCAATTTTACATCTTGTTTATCACTGAGGCATTGGAGTGGTGTGGACATGGCTGCATCTGGACTGTTCAAATGGAGATGGCTGGTGATGTAGGGTCCTTGGAGTCTAGGGAGGCCCCACACCATGGGAGGGAGATGGCCAGGAATTCAAGCTGTTCACATGGGTTTTAATAGGTCGTCTTCCACTCCATCCCACCCTGCTGCCCCACACACAGACTTAATCAAGGGTGGGTGCTGGTATCTGAAAAGACCTGGCCTTGCTGGGACTGACCGTGGAAGCCTCAAAGTCAGCAGGGCCAGCGAGGTGCTGGGAGTGGACTGCTGAGCTGCAATGGCAGTGACCTTGTTGAGGCTGCTGGGAGTCCAGCTGGTGGCCTGGGCTCCGACGCTGAGTAGCATTTCAATGAGGGGCCTAAGGTGAGAGAAAACCCTTGTCAATCTGAGGGCAAGGGGCTGCTGTTCGGAGGTCCCCAGGTCCCCTGCACTAGGTAATGGTCCAGGACTTTGTGATCATAATCTTATTTACTCCTCACCAGGATTCAGTGAGGTCCGTATTAGTATCTTTATTTTACAAATGAGGGAAGTGAGGTTCAGAAGACCTTGGGCAACTCAGGGCAAAGTCACAAAGCACATCGGTAGCCGGTGGAACCACGGAGCTGTCACAGTGAACCACTGTGCCCCACTGACTGCTGGCAGCTGGAGCGCTGTCCCTGCTAGAAAGTTGCTCTCAGTGGGCGGTTACTAATATTTAAATCAGATTGGAGACTCTATTATCAAACCCATCTGCTCATAGTTTATAGCTATACACTTAAAAAGGCATAAATGCTTTTTGAGTATCAGTAGAATGTGTCTTTAATTTTATGAATTGTTTATGAACTGCCTGGAATAGAGCGATCCCAATAATAATTCACATTTTATGGCATTTTGTAATTTACAAAGGGCTTTCCCAAACATTAGCTCATTTTACACATCAGCCGACAAAGGTAAGGGCTTTTATTATCCTCATTTTATTGATGGAGAATGAAAGAATAAGTCATGCTCTTTAACAGTATACGTCTCAGCTATACTAGTGAAGATAGGGGCTGCAATCTTGAGAGCAGGCTTAGGCTGAAAATCCTACCCCAAGAAAGGAAAAGACTTCCCTG